ACTAAAGGCTCAAGATACAATTTGTAAAAATTGCAAGTAATGGTCCAAAGGTTTGAATAATTAAATTCAAACCTATAATTTTTTTAATATAATTTTGGGACTCAAATCCTATTTTTATATGATTTTTTCTCTCTTTCTCTCACGTTGCTCGGCGTTTTCTGACAAGGGGGGATTATTTTCATTTTCTTCAGGTATGTTCCAACTTTCCTATTTAGATTAGCATTTAAAAAATTATTTAAGTATAAAATATTTTATAGGTATTTTCTAAATAGTATTAGCTTTCTATGATATGATTATTTTTATGAATAGAGCAATATTTTGATTAGGATTTTTCTATAGGATAGTTAATCTGAGTATATGATGGATTAAAAATATAGGTTGAAGTTCTTAGAGGTATAATAAATATTATAGAATATTATTTTGATGTTGAAACTCATGTTTAAGCAATTTTTGAGTTAAACTCTAGATCTATATGATGAATTTATGTTGATCTGAGATAAGGATGAACCTCTGATTATTCAATATTTATTTAAGTATGAATAGGTATTTTTGAGGTTATAGAAAGGTGATTTGAGGCTTTAGGATAATTCTAAAATTCTTAATTTATTTTTGGACGAATTTTTAGAATATAGAAGGATGAAATTGTGATACTAAAAGTGATTTGAGGCTTAAAATAGTTTATTAGGGTACGAGAATTTTAAAAAGAATTTGAAAAGTTAAATGAGGCATAAATCTTAAATTAGTGTTAATATGGATTATAGATCTAAGACTTTCTAACTCTTTAAATTAGAGTTATTTATTTAATGTAAAATTAATATATAGTATTATGAAATAACTATGTAGATTGTGTTGACAAAAATAGTGGTGAAAGAGGAGTTGTGAAGGGGAACTTGTTATTCAAGACACAAGGTAATCATTATTAATGTGTGTGATAAGTGTGTCTTTGAATGGTTATGTGTTGTTTTGTGTTTGAAAAAATTATGAATTATTAAAAATAAATATTATTATATACTTGTTTGAAATCATTGTCAAGTGGGTTAAAAATTTATTTTTGTTTATCATGATGAGATATTATTGTTCGGATATATTCCTATTTGGATATTTGAATGATGCACGACTTGTCAGGGTATTTTAATATTATAGTGTTAATAGAAATTTTTGTTCGGTTAATTATTACCACGTGGTAAGCCCTCATTGGACCCAATGAGTGACGTGTCACTTTGTCCAACTCACTTTGACCGGGTGATTTGACGTCTGAGCATGACGAAAGGAGGATATAAGGTGCAGTCATGCAATTAAATACTTGTTCGATTTGTTTGAAAATATTGTTCGATTAAATATTTTTGTGTGCCCACTAAGCAATCGTATGATTAGTTACATCCACATGCATCATTACATATTAATTTTTAGTTACTGAGACTTTTAAGTCTATTCCCCGTGGTTAATATTTTACAGGAGAGAGTCCAGTCGAGAAAGCACCAGAGGCGTAACTTTGGTGTATGAGACACCATCTTTTATGTTGCCTCTTATTTTGTATTATGCAATGTATCTTATACCAACCTAGGACATACCTTATTTTGACAACATGTAAACTCTAATTCTTTTATTAAATGCATTTATATGACCAAGAGGATTATGTTTGTCCCTCTTGATTCATGACCTGATTTAAATATCATGCCATGAGGATCCTGTCTGTCCCTCATGGTTCTAATTGCTTTTTGAGATATTTTAAGACCTGTGGTATATTATCTTGGATGTATCATGGTAGAAATTTTTCTACCATGATAAGGGTATGATAAGGATTCAATAAAAAAAATAATTTGTTGAATTAATAATTTGCGAAAAATCGGTTTCTAAATTGAAGGGTGTTACATGGTGCGTGATCCAAATTTCTTAATTTGAATAATGTTTTAATGATCTTTATTTAATTTTTTTTTATTTTTATCTGAATTGTAAATGTGAAACAAATTGACTAAATTTTAAAACTTTAATTTATATATAATATGTATTTGAAGATGATGAGATTCAATCATTAAATTTGTATTTTGATCATGATGATATTTGATATTTTAATATATCAACTATGCAAGATTTGAAAATATTTATATTTTAGTTGAAAATCAAGTTTTCAAGATTCATATCATATACAACCATAAATCATTAATGAAATTAAAATGTATAATACATTCATATACCCTCACACAATTTAATAGAAAGATGCCGCCATATAAATTTTATATTTACCTCATAATTTTAATTTTTAAAATGTTCTATGTCAGAAAGAAAATTTATAAACTATCCAATCATTAGATAAGCTTGTGGATAATAAAAATAATAAATTGTATTGTGATTTACAAACGTTGACCTCAATAATCTTAATTATTTATAATCTTATTAGTTAATATTACAATTTATTTTATGTAAACTTTTTCATCTATATTAGTTAATATCTCTCCATTAATTAATTTGAGTTTGAATGGCATTTGGTTTCTTTCATTGTGGTATGTGATTTTATATACATTAATTAATTAATTGATTCTAATGTTCTTTGTTGGGAGATTAATTTCATCGTATAATATATTTGCTCTTAATATGTCTGTTAATTAATATGCACATCCTTATGTTGATTTGGTAGTTAGAAAGTTCCAATGGTTGCAGCCATAGATTCAATTGGTGAAGAAGTACTCAAAATTTATGATGAAGGTCCCCATAATCTTAATGTCACATTGGATATATTGTGTACCTTTCACTATCTTCTTTCACTTTTTCCCCATGCATTTGGGTTATAGATTTGATATATGAGTTTATTCCAAATTAAATACAAAAGGTTTTATAATTCCTTTTTAATATAAATTTCGTTTTACTATATATTGTAATTTTAATTATAGTTTGTAATTTTTTTCATACTTATTTGTAAGTTATGTGTTTTATAACTTCACTATGCCAAGATTTCAAATGTCTTTTAGATGTGAATGTTCTCCAAGTGTATTTTTTCAAATATATTGAGCATGTTAATTTTTTTTTATAGTTGTTAACTGTTTTTTTTTTTTCAATCAACATTTGTTCTAAGTGTTCTAGATATCTGATGTATCAAAACAAATAAAGTTAATGTTAAATGCAAAGCAATAAATTAGTATAAAACATATAACAATTGTTGCATTTTTTCAAATTGGTAAAGATTTAAGATTTTTAAATTATTTTTTTTGGGACTAGTTATGATCTTTTGAACTTTGTATTTATTCCGTTTTTATTTAGAGCAAGTTCTTTTTAAATGAATAAGTTAAATAATTATTTATAATTAAAATTCAATGTAAAGCGAATTGATAAAAAATTAATTTTGGCATTAAATTAATTGGAATCATTTTCTATTTTTTCCAAATTAATATAAGATTAACTTTTAGTTTATATTTTTTAAAGTTATTTTGAAGACTACTTTAAACTTAATTGTATCATAATTTTAATTAAAAAATCTACACAAAAATATCATGTGCATCATAAATTATTTTATTTAATAGTTAATTAATAAAAAATATTATTCTAATATTCATAATTTTTAATTTAAAACCACATGTACTTTATAAATGTTAATATCTAGCATTAGAAAATTTAGTTTAAAACTAACTTTCACCTAATAATATTTTATATTCTGAATAATTATTAAGTATTATTTTTAGCTTAACATTATTTTGCTATTTTTTACCCAGCCCGTGTGAACACTATTTAATTTAAAAGCAAAGACAAAAAAAAAAGACAAAAAACAAAAACAAAACAAAAAGGTCACCTTAGTCATCTTTGTGGCAACGAGGTGGCGACAAGAAGGCAACTCCAAATATCCAACATAACGCCGCGGATGCGATAGACGTGAGGGGTTTGGTGGGCCCCAGTCCTCCTAACTCTCGCTCTCTCTCTCTATTTCCTGAAACTACGTTTGCTCTCACGCGGCGACACTGATGACATTACCGCTAGTTGCTGCTGCTGCTGCTGCTTCTTTTTATGAGACCTCGTCTCACTATTCTTCTTCACATAAATCCGTGAGTTTGTGCTTTTAGTGTTTGGCTCAAAGGTTCTGTTTTTTCTTTTTTCCATCTGCAATTTCAAAAAGAAACAAAAAGCACTCACCTTCGATAACTTTCTCCGTTTTTCTTTCTTGGTTTTGTGTTTCTTCTTAACAAAAAAACAGAGAGAACGGTTTAGGAAGGAGTCTCGGGGAAAACAAACATGGCGGACGATAATAAGAACGGTTCTAGACAGCCATTGTTGGATAAAAATACGTACTATGAGAACTGCCCTGGCTGTAAGGTTGATCAAGCCAAGGAATTGCACCAAGGCGTACCCCTGAAGCATATCCTCAGCGTATGGATGCTTACTCTGTGCACCAGTAAGTCTTCTGCTTTTGTTATCATTGTTTCTGAAAATTTGTTACTTATTCTTGTAAAGTCGAATGCATCAACTTTTAACCAGCTTCTTGTTTTGGAGCACTTTGTTTTTTCCCCTTTTGATCGATTACTTGGCTGATGCTAGCATATCCAACCATCAGTGTAATGAACTAACTTGCCTCCCCTCTTCGGTTCTGTTTGGCAGAAACGAAAAATGGTTCATTGACTTCATAAAGGAATAAATAGAAAGTTTTTCCTTTTTCTTTTTTTTTTTATAGGATAGGAACGTATTGTTTTGTTTCTTTAAGTTCAAGATATCCTTCCAAGTTCCAAGCTATTTGTTACTGCTTTTCTAATTCTTCTCTCAGTTGAAGAGCCCATAATTTACAACATTACTGTTCTTCTGTTTTCTCTCTTTCTATTTTTCTTTTTTAGTTCCTGAAGTGAAAAGGTCTCTAAAACAAAAAAAAAAAATTCTATTTAATTGAGTATTTATTATCAAATTTTGTGCCTGCAGATTCTTCAGTTAATTATTCCTTATTTTTAAAAAAAGAAAAATTATCTGATATGTTTTTCTTGACTTTGTACAGCTCTGCCTGTATGCTGTCTCTTCCCATTTCTTTATTTCATGGTGAGTGTATCATGTCTCTTCCCACTTGATGACATTCTTTAATGGCCATGATGTGTGAATTTTTGTCTGTGGATGATCTAGATTATTAATTTCTTTTTAATGTTTCCTTTTCTCCTTATATAATCAAAAGTGCATATAATAGATGTGCCTTTTTTTTATGTTTTATTTTCCTTTGATATAAACAAGACTGCAAATAGAAGTTCTCAGTCTTTTTTTAACGAGCACATCAATTTTCAAAATTGGCTGCTTGCTTCAAGCTGGGAACAGAAACTTATAAATAGTTCGTTTGATTAATCACCTACATTAATTCTATTCAAGTTAATATAATCAGTTTTCCTAATTATTTGGGGTATTTGAATAGATGAATTTTGAGTATCAATTAACTGTTCAGTCCCGCCTCTTTTCTTAATTTTTTCTACGTAGATATTGGTTCCTTCTTACTCTGTTGTACTTGTTTAAACTTTGCATTTAATACTTGTTCCATTGTCTAAGGATTTTTTTTTTGGGGGGGGGGTGATCCATTGGAATGTACTCTATCCTTTTAATATTATAAGGTATTTTTTTTTTCAAAGTATCATCTTTCAAATTATAAGACATTTTAATCTTTCAAGGTGCAGTTGATAGGTTGGTAAAAAGAAAAAGGTACAATTAATAAGGTCTTTTCAAAAATACTCTTAATTTTTTTCTAATTAAGAGACTCTATTAAATAAGGGTAAGCATGGAAAGAGTGTGTAATTTTAAAAAAAAAAATAACTACAATTCAGTTAAGAGTGCCTTATAATACTGAACTAAGAGAGTATAAGAAACCTTTTATTGTAGTTTTCTCTCCTATTCTTCTAATTTCAACTTAAACTTTTGGCTTATTTATTGAAATTGCCATGACCGGCTTACAGAGGGGAGGGATTGAGGATACATTTGAATTGTCTCTAATGTTTTAAATCTTTTTTGTATTGAACAAAATGATAGCTTTTGACATAAATAACAAAATTGTAGATTTTGACTTAAAATGACAATTATATATAAGTTAAAATGCAGTTTGCTAGTAAATATGGAAAATCATGTCTCCTCAAGTGACAACCAATCTCAGTTCAGGCTTGCAACAGTCTAAATTGTTTTACCTTCTGCTTTCTCGTTTGTTATGAGGTAACTCAAGAAATAAAATCGTTGTTTAATGATTGCTTTTATTGCTAAGTTTGTAAGAGCATATAACTAACGCAGAATAGAAGATGAACTGTTGTATTGATACAAATTTGCTTGCAGGTAAGAGATTTTGGTATTGCAAAAATGGAGGAAGATATAAGTTCCTATGCTGGTTATGTGGGTAAGGTTCCTTTCAGTCCTTTCATTCTATTGATGTCTATAAGAGGAACTTATTCAGCTCTCAAAATGCTTAACTCCATATGAAATATGTTGCAGGATCTTCATTCATGTTTGGCAGATGTTTGACATCAATTCCATGGGGAATATTTGCTGATCGATATGGTCGAAAATATGCTATAGTTATAGGCATTGCTTCAGTGTAAGCACTCAAATTACTTATTTGGGTGATTTCTTTTTAGATCTACCATAAATCAATAACAGTGAATAGAAAGAAAATACTAGAAGAAATGGAATTGTATAAAACTTACTTTGGGCATAATGAGATTGAAGATTTTTAGTGCATTTTGGAACTATGTTTCATATATTTGTCTGCTTTATTTATTTTATTTTATTTCTTGTCATGGACTCCCTACAAATAGCCCTCCACTAATTGTATGTTAAACATTTTTAGACTAGTTGAAATCAGTTTATCTTGTTAGTTCCTCACTTCCTCTCCTAACTTAATCCCTCTCATCCTCTATACTTCTATACATCAATAATGTTGTGCATCTGGACATTGATTCTTATTTGATTTCAGTGTTGTGTTTAACACACTATTTGGCCTTAGCACAAGTCTTTGGATGGCTGTTAGCACAAGATTTCTCCTTGGAATCTCAAATGGTTCACTTGGACCAATAAAGGTACCATTTGTAGATGCATTAGATAGCAGAAACTTAAAATTGAATGAATTGATATTTGGTCTTTAAAAGATACAAAGATACACTTCGTCTCTATTTGGCCAAATCACACATTTTTGTTAGTTGTTTGTTGTTGGGCTTGATGCCATGATGACATTGAAGTTGAAATACTTTTTTGTGAGACTTGAATGAGATATTCAAGTTTTCAGAGACTAAATTGTGACAAAGTGTGTTTTTCAAGGTCTAAAATTTCCAATTCAGTCTTTAAATTTTGTGTTGAACAAATCCGTGGTTCTATCAGAAGTTTGAAATTGTGTAGTTGATAGTCAGTCAATACGTTTATTTTTTTTCTTTTGACTTTGAGCACTCTAAATCATGTGTTTTTCATTATGGTGAAAGGGAGGTGCATATATCAAACCTTGCCAGATTACAGTAGTGAAATCAGGGGGGAAAAAAAGCTAATTAATCCTAAATGATACTACCTGATTCCGTGCCTAACAACATTTCTTTACAAGATTTACTTGTTCTATTTGATTTGATTCTAACCTCCACTAATATATCAACATCCTCTTTCACTAGGCTTATGCTACTGAAATATTTCGAGAAGAACACCAAGCTTTAGGGCTCTCCACTGTAAGTATAGTTTACTGTGGTCTATTATTGATTCTTGCAAGTACATATTCTTCATGATGATACTCTGATAATTTGATCTGGTTTCAGGTCAGTGCAGCTTGGGGGATAGGTTTAGTCATTGGCCCAGCACTAGGAGGCTATTTGGCTCAGGTACTTGATTCTTTGCCCTGTGCTTCAAACTGGTACCTAAGGATGTGCTTGGCTTTTTCATATGGACAAATAAGATTAACTCTTTTGTGGTTGAAAATTCATCTAAGCTGAATTCCTAATGGATTTAGTTCTCTTTATCTACAACTTAAATTGATCATTATCTAAAATCCTAGCTCTCTATCATTATTTGTAGCTGGTCTCTACGTTATTAAAACTTAAGTGGATGGAGGTTTCCATGGTGAGGGCAAGCCCTCTCATTCACCATTTTAAATTTTATGTGGCGTGTGTGTGGGAACAAGCTGAATTTTGGTTAATATTTTCAAAGATGAATATTGTTTAACAAGACCTCTTACTTAGCATATTTTCAAAGGCTTAGTTGCTGAAAGAATACAATGGCATCGTGCAATCCATATAGCTAATGCCGATCTCACTTAGTAGAATAAAATTTGTTGTTGTTGTTGTTGTGTGTGTGTGGGAACAAGCCCATGAGCATGCTTATCTCATGGTCTTCTAATAATTTGGGAATTTTGGTATTTCAGCCAGTTGAGAAATATCCACATATATTTCCAAAAGGTTCCTTGTTTGATAAGTAAGTGCTAAGTATACTTATGCTATTTTTAAGTATTAATAATAATTTTGAATTCCATTTTTTTAAAATTTCCATTTCCTAGTTGATATGCTGATATTTGTTTGTCCAAACACAAATGGCCTACAGGTTTCCATACTTCTTGCCCTGCTTTATAATATCAGCCTTTGCACTTGCCGTATTAGTGGCCTGTATCTGGCTCCCGGTATGTATGACCATGAATTTTGTGTCTATTAATAATAATAATAATGGTTGTAGTGGTAAATTATATTAAATACAAAGGGTAGCCCAAGCCCAAGCTAGCTAATCCTTATTAATCTTCTTTATATAGTTTTGTTCTCATGATGTTTTGAGACTGCTGTTGTTGCTATTACTACTACTATTATTAATTTATTATTATAAAAAAAAAAACCCATTTTTGGGTTGTGACTTGGGATGAAGGCAGGGTTCTAATATACTCCCTCAACAATTTTGTAGGTGATTGGGTTGTCAAAATATAAGGCAATTTGACAACAAAAAAAAAAGGTTTTATCAGATATTCTTTTCCAATATTATCCTTCTCTTCTTATTATTCTCTCTCTTTATTTAATGTTTCACAATTAAGGTTATGTTAAATGAAGGGTACTTTTAGAAATTTATATTTAAAAAAAAAAAGGTCGTGAAGTATATTTAACTAGCTTTATTAATATATGTAATTTTATTTAAAAATGTCTTATAAATTAAGAAGGAGGGAGTATTTCTTAAGGGAGTTATTGTAGCTTTTAGGTTCTGTTTTTTTAGTTTAAAGCCTCATATTTTATATAGCCTAGAAATCTATGAATATACTTTTCCCTTTCTATTCTTCATTTTTTAATAGTTCTCAAAATATTTTAAACATACCATATTTGGGGGATAATTATATAAAGCTATATTTTAAACTGTTTCTTTCTGATAAAAAGGCTAACTTCTGATATTAAAATTGTTGTTTTCAAAATCTGCAGGAAACATTGCACAACCACAATGTTAGTGATGAGTTCAATGAGGATGCAGAAGCTTTAGAAAATGAAATCACAGAAAAGACAGTTCAGAAAGATGAAAACCTCCTCCTGAAGTGGCCGTTGATGTCATCCATTATTGTTTATTGTGTTTTCTCGCTGCATGATATTGCTTATACAGAGGTTTGCTTCTTAGTACAATACTTTTATACATTTCATAAAATTGTTGTATTGGTGGGGCTTTCTTGCTTTCTATCTTGTTATCCATACCTTTATTTATTGATTTTGATGTGATATCTCGCTGAATGGTGGGGAAAAAAATTGTCATATCCTCAAAGAAATGATTTTATGAATTATCAAGCCGAAACTCCCATTGTTTTAATTCTTCCGGAGATAATAACTTGATATTATGCACGATATTCTATGGAGTTGAAAGAAATTTTCTCTTGTACTATAATGATACAAAAAATTCATATAGCATCAAAAGTTCATAACGAAGTCATCTTTTATGGAGCAAAATGAATGTTTTTGTGTTTCACCTTATAGGGTATAGGTTAGAACTATTTTACTTTCTGCAGGTTTTCTCATTGTGGGCTGTCAGTCCTATAAAGTTGGGGGGTTTGAACTTCACAACCGATGATGTTGGTAATGTTCTTTCAATATCAGGTACATCCTTGATGGATATGAATTTCTAGATAGTATTAATTATAAATTGTGTTTCCAACCTAACTTGTCTTCCCCAAATATTATGCATAACTTAACTGCATTTACATGAGGTCATATGCACTAACTCTTCACCTTAGGCACATATTTTAATTTGTAAACCAATCTTGCTGAGTAAATTTCCATTATGTTAATTGCCAGAATTAGGAAGGATTCTTGAGAGACTTGCAGAAGATTTCTGAAGGTTATAAACAAATAAATAAATATCCAAAAAATATACAAAACCCGGATAAGTGCAAAGCACTCAACCCAATTACCCAAGCAGAGATTGGACTACTAGAGCCCTTTTTAAGATGCATAGCAGATGCACCTCAAGAGAGAAAGAGAGGGAGAGAGAAGAGTAAATACGAGAAAAGGTATTTGTTTTGGGATGGTTTCTCCTTCAGCCAACCACCTCTATTTATAAGGTGGAAGGCTGTAACAGAACGAGAAATCCAATTGTCATAAATCTGTCTCATAATGAAAAGAATAATTGCAATGGAATACTTATTAATGCAGAGACAAAACTTTCCAAAGTGGAAATTAATTCTTGATTCCGGTCAAACCTCATTAAACCGGAATATACTAAATTATTACTCATTAATCCAATATAATTACTTGATTCCCATCAAGGGCAGATACATAAATCCAACGATTTCCTTAAATTTTTTCTCTCTTTTTTTTAGTTGAGAAATCTTCAGTAAAGTGTCTGGTGTATTTGACTTCTTGTAAAAAAGCATAAATTATGTAGTAACTTTTAAAAGCATCAATCATGTGGTGCCAAATTATGAAAGATGTTAACATGTCATGCTTTTATTGGAGAAATAACAACAAACATCTAAAGGAACTCCACCTATGATCTATCCCTTTTGTTCAGAGGATCTGAGTTCATTTATCTGGAACCATATTCTGAACTGTGGTTTATTAACTGCTTTATAACTTTACATTAAAATTTAGGGAGAATAACAGATAGGTCCCAAGAGGATCAATTAATTCAAATGACATCCTAAGTGCCAAACTTCAAGAATTTGCAAATTCATCTCTCAATTTTGCAACTTCGTTGTGAAGAATTTGCCACTTGTTTTTCTAAATTTTAACATGGTTGAAAAAAAAAATTGTTTTTTCTGTTAAAATTTGGAATTTGGAACATAAGTTGCGAATTCATCACAATGAAGTTGCAAAATTGAGAGATGAATTTGTAAATTTTTGAAATTTGGCACTTTGAAACCTAATTTGAATTAATTGATCCTCTTGGGACCTCTATGTCATTCTTCCTAAAATTTATGTAGATTGGCTTGCCTAGTTCTCAAGACACTTCTCAAACTTTTGTCATACGTTCAATTTAATAGCTTGTTTTATTTGCTTAGTTGTTTTTAGTTTCACAGCAGTTACCATATTCCCATAAACTTCTGAAATCGAATTGCTTGATAACTTTTGTTTTTTTGGGGCTGAACTTCTTAAATGTGTACATTTATTCAGACTTCCTTGATATTCATACAAGAAAAATAGGTAAGCACTATAGTTGAAAATTTCAGTTAGTTCAAGACGGAACGGATATGCATCATAAAGATATAATGTGTACATGTTTCCACTGTATTGACATAACTATCACTTCAAGATTATGCTGGTTAGTTCTGACCTTTACTCAACTGGTTAGGTTTTAGTCTGTTGCTCTACCAAATCTTCATTTATCCATTTTTGGAGAAAGTTTGTGGACCTGTGAGACTTTCTCACATTTCAGCGGTTAGCTTTCTCATTCATGCAACAATTACAATGATTCAGCATTTTCATTTTCTGCTGTTTATTAAACTGAACTGTTGTTTTTGGGCGCTGTGTGCAGGTTTTATCCATACCTATCTTGCAAAGTCACCCTTTCATAGCGTTGTTATCAGGCTTCACAATGGACATATTGATAACTATTGCTTCTGTGCTTATGTTTTGTCTCTCTGTAAGTTCTCTGTTCCATGATTTTACCAATGACAATGATAATATTATGGATTAAGGTAAAGTAAATGGCTATTGGTTGGCATACAAGATTTTTATAGGTATTTTCAGTCTGTAAAATCACTTAGCAAAAGTAAATGCAATCTGTAAGTGCATCACTTGTTTTTTCAGAAAAAAACATTTTGATGGCACGAAGACTGATCTAATTGAAATTGAGGACTAAATGGTAACAATAAAGAAACTAGAGGGGGTAATGGTGTAATTTAAGCCCATAAAATATGAGAATGACAAAAGCAGAACGCTATCTTCTTCACAAAATCCTACATACATTATGAACTTTCCTGATTGTAACTTTTTCTTTGCCAGGCAACAATTGTTACTGGTTTATTCCTTCTGCAAAACAGAGCAGTGGTAATTTTTGTTTTTGTTTAGTTCATTATTTATTGTTGTTATTCATTTTTCTTTTGAAGTTGTGGGATTATCATGATTGAGTTAGGCTAATACGGCAAGCTTCATTTGGGAAAACAGGAACAACACCAAAGGGGAGCAGCCAATGGTATTGCTATGACTGGTATGTCAATTTTCAAAGCAATTGGCCCAGCTGGAGGTGGTGCAGTGTGAGTTTACTTTTCATTTTTTTGTTTAGCATCTTACATGTCACTTCAAATCTAGTGAAAAATTGTCCACAAAGACTCGCATCAGATTGATTCCAATCCGTGATTTTTGATCCATTTCTGTAGGCATCTGCCGAGTTCTATGTGCATTGCGTTGGTTCTGAAACAATTGATCTAACTCAGCCTTTTTATTTATCAATGAAAATATCATGGTGCAAAAACAAAAAAAAAACAAAAAATTGTTAGTGTGGATTGGTTAGAGGTTTTCATTTATCATCTGAGAATGTAAAGATGAGTTTAGCCTCGTAAGCCTTTGCATTTGGATTTCATGTGTTTCTGAAGCCGATATATTTATTATGTCCATGAGCCTTAGTTTAAGTATTATGCATTTTCATTGATGAAAACTACTCGTATGAAATTCCATTACTGGGTTTTTCTTGTAATCTTAAACACACTACCTCAAATGAACACATCGATTTTTTTTCCTTTTCTTACAACTATGTTTAGAAACTTACCTTCTGTTCACTAATTTTGATCTTGTTCAATGCAGATTAACATGGTCAGAAAAGCGGTTAAATGCTTCTTTCCTCCCAGGTATGAAGCTTAGCTAATCCGTTTGTGCTGAATTTTGTTTCATATACTGCTAGGAAAGCAGCAAAGATAGTGATTGACCATGATGGCCCATTTGGTTCAATTCTCTGCATCAAGATTACCTGTAATCCTAATACTTCCTCTCATTCATGGCATTTGGTTGGACTAAAATGGGACACTTAGACTAGACTTTTAGAGTAATTTTTAGTGTAATAACTTTAACTTCTGTACATAAGATTCTATGCGTCGAACCAAAAAATTCTTTCTTCTTCCAACTTTTCCATCTTCCCATTCATTGCTCATGGATCCCTCTTCCCCTAATTCTTTCCATTCTATCAACGAAGAAATTTTGAATCCTAAAATGTTCTATCAAAATCAAATGAACTCCTTTTTGTGTGTGTGTGTAGCCAATGACTATATATTATTTGAGAACCCAATAAATCTTCGATCCTTGGCCCAAATAGAATTTAAAAAATGGAGGAATTTCATGTATATTTAGAATTAGATAGATCTCATCAACATGACTTCCTCAGGTAAAGACCATTACGTGATGGCTTTGGGATTATCTTATATCTCTTGTAATTGGGACTACATCAGTAGACCTATGTAATGAGCATTATGTTAATATCAAAAGACACTTGTACCCTTCTTCATCTTCATCTTCCCTCTTCACTCATCACCAAAGCTCACCCACCTTCATAGTCCACCACCGTCATTGGGGCAGCAGTGCCCCCATCATCGTTGTGAGGGCAACACATGTACGCATGTATTTTTGTGGGGACCTTAGAATTAATATTATCAAATATTAGGGGATCATAGTTGTAAGGTACTTGCTCCGAAGACCTGCAATTCATTCTTACCACAACAGGATTAACTCCAAATTCAATACTATGTCCTAGCTGAAAGCTCACTAGCTGCGGGACATTCAACTGCAGGTCCTCACATGGTATTTTTTGTGCTGAACCTAGTAGCAGCAGTTGGAGTGCTGATGATGTTCAAACCATTCCTGGCTGAGAAAAAGACAACCCCATTACAATGATATCACATGAAACATGTTGCTGCTGAAACCTGAAGTGATGGATGACACCCAGTACGGCTGAATCAGACCACCAAAGACTGAGTGAAAGAAGATGAAATGAATGTTACTAGAGTGTATCTTCTGATCAAGCTTTGTGTGGATGAGTTGTTGTTATATATATATATACACACACACACACACACATGTATGTATGTATGTATGTATGTAAACTCTTGAAAATGATGATGAATAAGAGATGATCATGAAGCTTGAGTGGCTATGGATGTCTCTTGCCTTGTGTTGTGTCTTGATTGTTCTTTGTCCAGTGGATTAGGGGGCCTTTTCTTTTTGTTTTTCTTCTTCAAGTAACGTGGATAGGTTGTTAGATAAGCAGAGAGATAGCTAGATAAGTTGATAGGTAGACAGGTAGTGCTTGGTCCAATGCTTCATCCTTCTTTGATGTGGGGGAAAAATCATCAACGCCTCAAGAGAAGACTATTGGCATTGGCAAGCTCTCTAGAAAATGATTACTTCCTCCTGTTTTTATTTATAAAGTGCTTGAAATATTTTTCATGTGTTCTAAGAAAAATGTTCATGTAGTTTTATTTGTTAAAAATATCTCAATTTTTTTTATTATATTCTTGTTAATTAAAGAAAGACATTGTGTCATCTTGTGCAAATGTTTGTTCAAGCTGAAAGGTTCTATCTTTTTGTTCCAACATCTGAAGAACAACTTATAAATAAGACTGGAATAGTACAATAATGCTCTCCCCCAAACCCCTCGCCCCCAAAAAAAAAAACCCAAATCAGCAAAATAATGCTCTTTGAAAAGAACAGAGTTGTACAAGAACTTAATCTAACCTTGTAAAGTCGGGGGTGTTTGTTTTCAGATAGCCAAAACTGGTTAAGGTAGAATTGATTTTGCAAATATGAATTTGGGAAAATTTGATTTTTTTATGTGATTTATATTTAAATATTTTTTCTTCAAAAGTAATTTACAAAATAGATTTTAAAGAAAAGCTCAAACGAATAAGCTCTAAAATATAGTAACAAGTTATTTTTTATTTTGCATAGAATAAAATTAAAAAAATTGTATTGGTGTGTTCTTACCATTTTTTTCAATTTTTGTAAATTAAATTTGTAATTTTATTGGAGGCCTTATAGTAAACTCATCTTTTTTTTAAATTTTGGCTCTATATCTAATTGGGAGAATGATATATTGGTCCTAAGGGATCAATTAATTTATATTAAATCCCAACTAATTTTCAAAAGGGAAAATAGCAATGAAGGATGCTCAAAGAAATTTATATCAATCAAGGATTGATTGTTGTCAAAATCTGAATGAAAAAAAGTTTGAATGGTCTTTTGTTAATTTAGAATAAGTTATTGTTAAAACTTGAATAAACAATTATTGATAAAAGACTAACCTGAATCAACACATATTTATTTGAATTTTGATAATAAATAATCTTTCACTGATATAAATTTCTTCCAGCTGTCTTTGATCGATATTTTCCCTTTCCAAAATACTAAACTCCAAGGATTTGTAAGTTTGGACCTCAATTTTCCAAACTTTTCATTATTTTACCAAGAACAAGTCAAGACATGTGTCTATGAAGAGGTATGAAAATGTGTCTGTGACTACTTACTAGGGAAAATTTCACTGCAACCTCCTTAACCAAACTTATTGACAGTCAAACTCCCTATCTGAAACATCAATTCAGTCTTTGTGAGTGTCACCTGAGTTAAATTGAAATTAAATTTTTGAGAGAAATGACACAAATACCCAAATCCCATATATCTCAGTTGTTTATTTTTCATACAATACTTGTTCATTTTTCCTACAGAGTTGTTTATCTACTTAGCTTCACTTGTTTATGTTCATTATAATGTTATACTATTGATAAAAGTTATAAATTTTCCCTACTATGTTATACTACAGTAATGTTATATCAGTTGTTCATTTTTTTTTACGTAAATTATTCATATGCACCTAACTTCACTTATTTATATTTATAGTGATATTATGCTGTTAATGAGAGTTGTAAATTTTTTCTATATCAATTGTTCATTTTTCATACATTAATTGTTTATTTTTCCTACACGAGTTGTTCACGCACCTAGTTTCACTTATTTATACTTATAGCGGTGTATGCTATTAATAAGAGTTGTAAATTTTCCCACCTCAGTTGTTTATTTCTCTATGTCAGTTGTTTTTATTTAAGGAGATTAGGGTTTTTTGTATCATTCTCTTCAAAAATTTAATTGCAATTTAACCCAAGTGGAACCCACATGCTACAAGATTACAACCTAGCTAGCTAGTTCTAGTATTGGACCATGACTATCAACACGTTTTACATAAATGTACTCCCTCCATTAAAAAATATAAGTTATTTTTAATTGAATCTCACTCCTCAATAAAGTAATTATCTACTTTCAAACTAATCTTATCCTTTCATATTTATCCCTATTAAAACACCCTATAGTAAATATAAAATCACTATCAATAGGGGCACTTTTGAAAAAAAGACAATGATTATATCTCAAAAGACTAAAAATGTCTTATATTTTTTAACATCCAACTCCTCAATATTTTCAGAACCAGACCGGATATTGAACTAAAAAGATCAACAGTTCATGATTCGCATAGTTCAATCAGGTTAGACCAATGGTCAAACCGGTGATATAATAATTAAATTAAAAAAACTATATATGTATATAATAATCTAAATATAACAAATAAATATGAAATTGTTACTTAACTTAAAAAAATTAAATGTTTTAAGTTTATCATGACTTAACAAGCCATATGATATAACATAACATCAAGTGATTAAAAAAATTGGCCATTTCCTAAAAAATTAATAAAAAATAAAAAAAGTTTTTTTAATAGTCTGGTTATTGAAAACTGAATCCAGTTTCCAACTTCATTTTGATTCTCAATCTGACCGCCGATCCGAAATGGCCCAACTTGGCTCAACCTCCAAAACAATTTTTATATATTGACTGAACCAAAATCCAGATTGGTCCACGATTGGACCAATCAAATCGTTCAGTTCGGTCTGATTTTAAAATCACTGATATAATTATTCACGGTCTAATTTTAAAATCACTTGTATAATTATTAATTGATTAAAACGTTATAAATAGAGAATAACGTGTTTGATAACAATAACATGTTTTGGGCGTTGGTGATAAATGAATTCGGGTGTGTTAAATCAATTTTTCCAACTCAAATCCCACACATCCTAAGCAGTGTGATCCACGCATGAATTACAATTTAAACAACATATTTTAATTTAAAATTTATTACGTCATGCATATAAACAACTACTTGTTTTGTTTTAAAATTTACTATCCTTATGTGCATATTAAAACCATTCTATCATATTTTTGTCCTGCATTTTAGAATATTTCATGCCATGCAAATGAAGATCTAGTCAATAACTTATTTTATTTTATAATTTGTTACTCCTTTATAAACTTCATTTTTGTATTCCTTTATTTATTTTTTCATACACTCTATGAATTATAATAAGTTATTTAAAAATTAATTTAGAAAGACTAACGAGAATTGAATCTAATGGAATAGACTAGTTTCTCACAATGTGATTAACTAATATTTAAATTCATATTAGGATAAGTGTTTGTATTTAATACCTGATCATATCTTGAATATAATTGCCTTCAATAGAAGTGCACTTGTAAACAATAAAAAAAAATCAATTTAAAAAATACATAAATATTGAAAGTAAGTTAAAATCAAGTTTTCACACATTATGCCCTGCTTTATATAAAGACAATTAGTACTCCTCATTGCTCTCTCGTTGATCAGTAGCATCACAAACTGAACAAGTGGCTCTTACTCTCAGAGTTGTATGTCTTCTCTTCTTTTTCTACCCTCTCTCATTAGCTTCGCTGTAATCGCTACATCTGTAAGTTTTTCTCCATTGTCTTGATTCATTATTCGAGGCAGTTTGTTCGGAGCACGAGAGAGTTGTTGAGAATTTAAGCTAAACACATACAAAATGTGTTGAAAAGCTAAATCTTTTTTAGACAAAACCTTTATGATTAGCTTCATGTTCCCCCAACAACTCGATCCAAATTTTAAACTTATAAACTAAAATTGCTATTTTCTTTATTTTTAAACAAACAAGCCCTTAGTTTCACTGATATTGTAATCTTTTCTTATGTCTTCTGAATATCGATCGAAATGGGATTGCATGCATGCATGCATGCAGGACGAGTGCATGTACCCTGTGAAAGTAAAAGACAGGATCTAACGAAGGTGCAGGAACAGACCCCAAAATCAGCCTGACGTTAGACGAGGGTTTCGACAACGGCTTTAATTACCGTCGACAACCTCAAAGATTGGGGCATAACGAGACCGGATCACGACTACTTCGAGAAGAACAACCTTGACTTGTTCGCCGGCACGGGCCATTATTACGTGAAAATCACCATGAGTGGGTGTAGCATGTCTACTGAGGAAACCATCTTCCCGGTGGACCAATGGCTAGCTGAAGAACCCTATAACGTTGACTTCTGCCTCAACATGAACCAACTTATACATATGGCACTAGATCAGGATTCTTGATGTAGTAACCACATGCTTTTAGCAACATAAGATGTGTCATGTCATGTTTGTGTTGTGTGTTGTGTTTTGTAACCTGTGAGTAGCTGTGTGTGATGCATCTCTACGTTTCAATAACAATGATGCCCCTTCGTGATCGTGCAAATTTACGAATGATATATATACTTATTGACCTCCACAACTTTATGAATGAGATATATGCATGGCATATATTAATTCCACGTTCTCAAGAATTAATTTCTCTGACAACTTCTAAGACTCTGTTTGGATACTCACCAATAATCAATTATATAGAACTCCAAATCGTGGTTTTGTAAAAAAGAAAAAAAATTATCCCAGCACCCTATCTTTTCCCAAACTCTATTTACTTATCCAAACTCCATTTTGGCATAAGCTACTTTTTTTTGGGGGGGTTCCTATTGAGCAGTGGCAGAGGTAGGACCCGTGTCAAGAGGTGCAGATTAATTTTAAAAATAATAATTCAAAAAAAATTATTTAACATTTTTTAAAAAATATATTTTATACTTATTGTCAAATGTTACTAAAAATATTTTCTTTCATATAAGTCACTAATTTATTATATTATTTATATATAAAAATATATAATAATTAACTAGAAATTTTAAAAAAAATAAATAAATAAGTATACTTTTTTCTAAAAATCATGTTGGAGTTTTGGACTTAGT